TCGTTAAGATATTCTTGTAAAAGTGAGTTTCCCCATTGATGCATATCTATGAGTCTATAAACTGGTAAATAAAATTGTTTTATAGTATAATGTACAGAAATTTTGGCATATTTATGTTAACAAAGTATGTTTGAAAAAATGTTTTGAATGTTATAGTAGAATTTAAAAATTGCTTGAAATGTGTGCCATGAATTGATGTCAAATAATATTAATACTTAAGCACAACTTCTATATATTGATAGAATGCGTTTTACTAAAATATATTTTTGATTTTATCAAATAGTATTCAAATAAATTGGAAGTCAACTAATATTTATTGTGCGCCCACCACTTACCAGCCACTTTTCTAGATATTTGGGATACACTACAGAGCAAATCAGATAAAACATCTCTCTCTCGAGGAATTTATATTTTTGTGTGGGGAGACAGACTAAGCAATAAACATAGTATATAAGTTAACTAAAAAGAAGTGTTATAAAAAAAAACAAAAAAAGAAACTAAGGTGAAAGATCAGGAATGTGGGTGGGATATTTCAATTTTAAATTTTTCGTCGGTCTTCAGGGTGGTTCTCATTGAGCAAGAAACATTCCAGTGAAGTCATGAAGGAGGTGAAACAATAGAACAGGATTATAAAATATTGCCCTAAGTACCTCGCAAAAGGAAATTTGTTTCCATAGGGAAATTTGAATTTGCCTTGTACTTAAATTGGCAAATTACTTTGATTAGTCAAAACACCAAATTCTTATCACCACAGCTATTCCCTAAAACAGTATACTGAAGTTCTTTTCACACAAATGTCTACTTCTTTAGGAATAATTTACATCAACGCATTAATTTATGCCTATCTCAGAATCCAAGATGTAGGTTCCCCTCTTTTTTTAAAATAAATTTTTTATATATACTACAAACCAGGTATTGTACCTCTGAAAAGATTAAATGCATCTTCACTGACATCTCAATCTGGACTATATTTGAAATCATGAAGCCTCTTGATTTCTAAGAATGATATAAAATGATATACAGATTTTTGAATGAATGTATAGCACAAATATTTGAAGCTTTTTTCTTTATTTCAATAGTTTTCCTTTTGAAATATCTACATGTGTTTCTCTTCCACATGTGTTCATCTTCCTACCTGAACAATATTTGTTTGCTGAGGATATAAATGCCTCTGCAGTGATGGTTTTATAGTCAGATGGCAGGTTCAGTCTGATTGCACTGAGTAAGGTGCAGTGATTTGTACTCACTTTCATAAGATATTAATTTTGGAGGTTGTTGGAATAAACTCTATACATTATATAGGTTTGTCACTTTTATCTATTTAAAGATGTCTGTTTTTATTATCTTCTGATTATTGTCTCACTGTGCTAAATATTAAACTACCTCTTCTTTATTTAGTCATTATTTTAAGGCACTACAAGCTCCATGTGCCAACTTTTTAATTTAATTGATTAAAAGCAAAACTCATTTTCTTAATCACAGTTTGCTTGGCATTGCACAGCTCAACTTGCAGTAAGAGAAAAGAATACAAAACAAATAAGCAACTTTTTTTTATTAATAAAAAAATTCCAAACAGTAAAAACAAACGTAAAAATTATATCCAAATAAGCAATGCCAATTAAATGGTAGAGTTGTATTTTAGATAAATCAATCAGTGAAACAAAAATATTTTATGCCTTTTCTTTGAAAATCAAGCTCTTATTTGTGTTCTTATTTTTGGTTAAGAGAATTAATACACTTACCTCAAAGAATAGTTCTGGATTGTTCCTATTAATAAGACAGAAGGAAATCGTGAGACCAGTGTTTGCTCAGCTCTGTGCTCAGTGCTATGCATAGCAAACAAAAAGGGTCAGAAAACATTATTGCTTTTGTGTGTATATATATGTGCATTTTGTAGTGCAATGGGGAAAACATATACTGATCAACTGTAACTTTGCAGCAGTCGAACATAACATGTCTTGCTACTCTCTTAGTTAGGCGTTGCTGTACATGTCTGCTGCCGTGTGATGTATTATGGTAGCTGCTTTTCTTGACATAGTTACACATCTTACAGCTAACGACCTGGGTTTTCTTTTATACATGCAACTAATATGCTCAGGCACTAATGTTATGCTTTATTAGGATTTACTGCATGGTAAATAATTTTCAATTTTTAAAATCCATTTATTATGCAGATATTCTTTAACCTCTACCATTTGCTCAGCACCAGAAATATATAGAACAAATAGGGCGGGGTTTTGATCTCATTGAGTCCCCGGGTTATCGGGTTATCGGTGGAAGCAAAGGGGCTACACAAGTCGTTGTCATAGTGCACCGACTGAGGGAAGTGCTGGCTGCCGTGAGGCCAGGCCGTGTGGGAGGAAATGTCTACCACAGAGGAGAGGCAGTAGGGAGCTGGGCATTTCAGGAAAAGGCCCCTGAAGGAGGTGGAGTCTGAGCTGAGTTTCTAGGAAAAGTAGGACCTAATTAGGTGAAACTGTAGGGAAGCCACTTCAGACAAGGGGAACAAAGTCTACAAAGCAAAGATGCCAGAAAGAATGTTTGAAACACTTGTCAATGTTAAATGCAATGACATTTTGGATATGCCACTTTCACTCACTGAAAAATAACCAAACTCAAGATGCCAAGTTCAGAAAACTGATATCCCATTTCACATCTGAGTTACTGAGAAATCCTTAAACATGAAATGTGTACTCCTCTGCTGTTTATAAAAGCTGGATGCTTGACCTTACCTCTTTTGCTGAAAGTAAACACTTTATAGTGAACCAAAGTTTTCCTTAATTTTCCCAAATATACTCTGTTAGAAAGAAAATATAGATTTTTCTTGCATAAATAAATTCACATGACTGATTTTATGCATTTTTTTAGGAATTATTAATAACATGATGAGAGAAAAATTTCGTTTTTGTTGAGGATCATCTTCCTGGGCCTGCTAGCAAATTTGAGACCCTCATTGCCTTCGTGTCCGAGGTAGAACTGCCAACTGCATCAGGGACATCAGTACAGGATGTTGACACACACACTCACACACAGAAATAACAAACGTACATGCATTTTCCTTAGGAACAAAACCAAATGGTGTGGTTCTTGAGTATTCTTTTCTTCAGCAAAGTGGCATGGCGGACACTATGTGATATTTTATACTTTTAAGTAACATTTACATATTTTCCTTTGGTATACTCAGAACAATCTAGATTATGTTCTACTGGACCCAGATAGCTGTTACCCAAAGTGTGATCTCAGACTCTCTAGGTCAGAATCACCTGGAACATTTTGAAGAAGTATACATTTCCTGGTTCTGCTCAGGATCTATTGAATCAGAATCTCTGGGTGTGAGCCCAGGTGGTAGAGTTTCAGTAAGTCCTCAGGTGATTCCTCAGGTGTACCCTAGAGTCTGAGAATCACTGGTATAGTTCTTGCAGCTGTTTTGGCCCAGGGATAAGTAAGCATGTAGGGCCCAAAGTAAGTGAAAATCAGTAGCATAAATTTGTTTTACTTGATCCATTGAGTTTAATAATCATTATCTAGAGTTCAAAATTGCAGTCTTGCAGCCTCATTTTTACAATTTCCAAACTCCTTCTAACCCCTATGGAATACACCACAAACATCATAACTTTCCTGCACATATAATACTTTCAGAAGTCCAAGCTCAATTTTATCAGGCATGGAGCTTGTAGCATTTATTTCTCCGTGACACATTTCAATTTGTCTTACAGAAAATTTTTTTATCCTTTAGTGATTTATACTTCTCAATGTTACATTTGCCTACAGACTTTTCTTCTGGCATTCTGGTATTTATGATGGGCAAAGAAACCTATTTAAATTATTTCTGAGATACATTTTCCTGCAAACGCCATAAACATTTTCTTATCTCACCAAAATGTCCACTGTTACTTTTTCTCTATTTCCGGTTTTAAAAATGTCCCCATTATTGTTCCTCAATATAGTTTTTGCTCATGAGATCTTTGTCTCTTTTCATTGTCTTGAGACCCCTTGATGTTTTGTACAAATACCTCTTGAGTTCTCCTGGATTCATAACTGGAGCAACATAAGGAGCAGGAATGATGTTAATGTTTTTTTCTTACCCTCGTTCCTCCATGCCTGGTGAAGAACAGTTGAGCTGTGTGCACATGATAATGTAAGGACATTCTCTAGCATCACTGACTCTAGAAAATCAAACTGATATGGGATCCTCAACATAAAGTGTGATCACATAGAATGCCAGAGCAAAATCTCATCCTCAGCATCTCTTCTTTCTGAACTGTTGTGTAACACTGGGTCTGGGGTGGCTGTAGATCAGCAGCACCAGCCGACAGGAAGAAGAGCTGGACACAGTGTGGAGGTGGAGAGAGCAAGGACAAGCTGGAATCAACAGGCATCTCTGCATCCATCTTGTGCTGCGTCTACCTAAGAAAACCTTCAGAGCAGAATGACTACACCTTCACCTCCACCTTTCAAAAACCTCATGTAAATTTATCTTTCAGTCAACTGTAGTCTGGAAACATAAGTGAAATGAAATTCTGGAAAAAATTCTTCCAGCATAGCCAAATTAATATGTTGTCAATATGAAACTGCCACAGCCTTTATCTGCATAATGCATATATTTTTATTTTTTCTTGGGCATCATGTTTCATTTCTTTTTAAAATAGTATCCAAGATTTTGTCTTAACCTGATTTAAAACAGACAGAAAACCATAGCCTCCCCCTCCTCCCCTTATGTACTTTGTACATTGTTGATTTTCTATAGATGTATTTTTTGATATATAAATATGCTCTTGACAAGCTGTATGAAATCTCTGAGGATGCTAGGAACCATGTCTTCATTAGTCATTCACTTCTCTGGATCTGACCCCCACCACATTTCACATAGGAGTCTGTTGGTAGCTGCGTACTTCAGGCCCAAGCCAAGAAATCATCCATTTGTTAGTCTTTGCTGCATAAGAAAACACCCTAAAACTTAGAGGCTTAAAACAATAATACTTCCTTATTTCTCCAGATTCTACAGATTGGCTGGGCATTTCCTCCACTGGTTTCATCTAGATTCACTCATGAGGCTGAATTAGCAAGAGGACCGATCAGCTGGCCTGCAAAGACCGAGGTGGCCTCATTCACATGTCTGGCAGTTGGCACTTGCTGTCGGTTGGGGCAGCTTGTTTTGCTTTAATGTGCCTCTTACATTCTACGAGGCAAGAATGGCTTCGTTGCATGATGGCGTTAGGGCAGTACCTTAAGACAACAAATTGGAAACCTCAAGACCTTTTAAGACCCAGCTTCAGGTGTCATACAATGTCACTTCTATACATTCTTCTTGTCAAAGTTCTTCACAAGGCAAGCCAGATTTGAGGGGAGGGGAGCTATACTTTACCTCTTACAAGAGGAGATGCCAAATGCTGTGGCCATGTCTTTCAGTGTACAATAGCACCTTGATGGTGAAATTATCTTTCAATTAGGTTTCCTTAGTAAGAAACTTCACTCTCTGCCTCCCCCTCTACCTCTCGAAATGCACACATATCACAGAGTTCTTCCTTTTATCAGTGGTTCTCAATTGCCTGTGATTTTGTCCCTATCTCCCCCAAGGGACATTTGACAATAACTGCAGGCATTTTTGATTCTCAATTGGTGTTAAATGTTGCTACTGGTGTCTAGTAAGTAGAGACCAGGAATGGTGCTAAACATCCTATAATTCATAGAACAGCTTCCTACAACAATGAGTTATCTGGTCCAAAATGTGCTAAGGTCGAGTAGCCTTGCCTTATATGGAATATAATTCTAGCAAGTTTCCTGAGTAGAACTTTGGTCAAGGATAATACCTAAAGGTATTCTTTTTACATAGTCTAAAATGATTTAAAATTTTGAAGGGATCATAAATTTCCTTTTGGATGGAAAGGGACTTTAGATATGGAAGCTGCCTTTATATCATTCATTATTTATGAGCAAACCATTTTAGATAGAATATGAACCACTCAAACCCTTCTTTAAGATTCAAGCTGAAAATAATACTTAGACTTTCGAGACTTAGACTATTAGTTTTAATTTCACCTCTCTTTCTGGCTTCTAACCCAAACCTAAGGGATATGTGTGCATGTGTGCATACACACACACTATACTTTAGCTAGTTTTGTCAGAAATCTTTTAAGAACTTTTCCACATTTTTTTAAAGGCAGAAAAGTGTGTATTAATTGGTCAAAGCCATTGTCTCATTAAACCAGGAATAACAATTTACATAGAGGCCTGTGATTTTTCCAACTATATGTTTAGATATAGGCTGATAGAAGTTAAAGATTCTCCACCACATTGTCCTTAGGAGAACTGAAATTTTCATTTTCCTTTCCAGAATAAAACAGAGTGCAGTTTAAAACAAAATGGGATGAATTAGTGAAAACACGAAACAAGTTAAAATTGCATACAACAATAAATTAGATTTCCTTACAGCAAAGAAAAATAAAAGTGCTGAAAGAGGACAGTTTTCTCATTGTTTTTAAAATAAGAATGTAAAATACAGAAATGGATAGAAACCAGTTATTCACTGTAACCCTTTCCCATATTCCAATTACAGTTCTTGGGTTACTCTTGGCTTGGATGGTCACCAAGTTTGCTTATTCACCTTTCTCACCCAAACACACCCCATCTGCTCCCACCTGAAGGTGTGTGATCGCAGGTATCATACCTCATCAAGAAGGATGTATTGACATCCCCTCTCAACTGACAGAGGCTGTTTGTTGTTGTGCCTGCCTCAAAGCAGTGTTTACTAATGATGGTAGAGAGGGTATGTAATTTGAATTCCTAAGTAGGAGTTTGCTATATCAGCTCAGGCCTGAGGATTCTTGTATAATTGTGTGCGTGTGTGTGTGTGTGTGTGTGTGTGTGTGTGTGTGTGTGTGAGAGAGAGAGAGAGAGAGAGAGAGAAAGGAATTCTTGAAAATTTAAGAGTCCATTGAGATCAACAAAATCTTCTCATCTGTGGATGAAACCAATTCCACATCTATAATTAAGATCACTTCGGTTGCCTCAACAACAGATTAATTCCTCTTTTCAGCTAAAGGGTTGATGTCGTGAAAGCAATATTTTATCGGCAAGAAATTGCTTAAGTCTGTTTGCTTAACGAAGCAATTATTGATAACCTACAATTGCTTATTGCTTCCCAAATCAACAACTTGTTAGCAAAAGCCATCTCATATCCCAATAGTGATGTGTACGTCTACTTCAGGGAAGACTGACAAATAATATTTTTTTCATGGAGATATATCAGAAGACAATAACTCTTAAACTATGAGCTATCATATCGCATAAACTAGAGAAGTGTTACTGAAGTACTAAACCCATTGTTTGAGTTTTCTGCTTCAGGAGTCTTGACATCTGACCATCCATTGATTATCTTACTTCAGAATAATAGCAATGGATAATAGCTTTAACTTGAGGTGTCACAGGAGCAAGATCTTGTCCTTAGAGAATTTAACATATTGGTATATTCTAGGGAGCAGATAAATGAACTCATGTTGAAGTGCTCTCTGAATGCAAACATTTTCTTTGCAACTGTAGCAGAAAAATGTAGGCATCCAAGGCGGGCTTTTGCCAAGCTTGAAGTAGTTATTTTGTTTGCTATTTTTTGTGGAGGCTCTTCTTTCTCACACTCAGAAATAAGTAGCAACAGCTCCTGGTGACATCGGCCTAAATCGTGAGTTCTTGAAATTGTAAAACACTGGTTTTGAAGTATTACTGCACCCAATTCCAAAGGTATAACTACACTTGCTTAAATGGCTCGCAAGGATTGCTGTACCATTCATACCACTTTAAGATATTACTTCCTTTAGATGGTAGCAGTCAGAATAGTGCAAGATTGAGACTCTTTTCCAGCAGCCATGGCAATAGTACCACCTGACATTTATGGAGAGTAGTATACTTTTTCAAAGTATACTTAAATGCATTATAGAGAGAGGCAGTGTAGTATAAAGATCAAAAACTTAGACTTTGGAGTCAAGGAGATATATATTTTTAGTGACATACATGCTCGATTTTTTTAGCTGTAAAAATATAGAGAAAAGGATCTAAGTTGAAGCATTATTATAAAGATTAGATGTATGTAAATAGCTTAGTCTCATGACTGTGTCCTAATTAGTGTGGCATAACTGGCAGCTATTATTATTACTACCATAATAATGCAGAGTGTCCTTTTCACTTGTTTCATGTATTAGATATTAAACTAGTCATAGATTTGTTGCTAACATACAGACTTTTAAAATATCTATAACAGAACTGAGGTCCCTGAAAAATTAGCTCCACAGTCTAGTAAAGGAACACAGTTGAGAGAACAAGTTAGGTAGTTGAATCTTCCATGACCAAATAAACCACTCTGTCATTAAAATCTCTTCCAAAATCACGAATTCCAGCTGACGTTTTCTAAATAGGATTTTCAAATATTGTAAACACGGCTAAAATATCTTCTAGATTATCAATTTTAAACCAGAGTCTAAAATTTGATAGTGCTGACAGAGCACCAAATACTGCTGAAACAGATTGAATCAGCTTCCTATTTTTGCAGTCCATGCCATCAGGAACACCTTCTTTACATCTTTTTCGGAGGTGCTAATTCAGTAAACAAAGAGCACACTTTACCCCAGGCACCAAATCCTTCAGGACACTCCCAAGTTGCCCATATTCCTAGCAAAAGTTTTGGGGCCACAGAAAGCCCAACAACTGTTTCAGAGCCTGCTGCCTGGGGTGCCAAAGAATTATGCACGAATAAAACCCTGAGGGGAAAATGTAAGATGCTAAACTAAGCATCTTAAAGAATGGGATGAGAAAGGATGTAAAAGCTTTAAACCACCCAGCAAAATTCAAAATAGAAAGAGATAGGTAGTCACAAAAAGGATCTGAATTGCGATGTAAAACAAAATACAAAAATAACATGCTGAAGCCTGACATTCTGGTGCAGCAAACCCATTCACTGATTCTGGAGTGGAATGCTATTCTGATACGCTGCACTTTAGACAAGTCCCAAGCACCAAAATTAGAACTCAGACATATATAAATTAGGGAGAGTCCTTTAAATAAGAGGCTCTCTTTTGAGTATTTAAAAATATGACAGATCTAAAAAGTGATATACATACGTGTTTTTAAGAATGCATACAATTTGTTGGAAAATTGAATCTACCCTGAGAGGGCAGTCAGTGGGAGCAGAAGAACCCCAAGCTTGTATTCTCGTGTATCACGTTCGCATGTACCACAAACCAGAAAGGGCAAAGAAAGTGATAACTGGAGTCAATTTGCCTTTACCTTGATGTCATTCTAAAACTTAGAACCATTTACTTTTTTTTTTTTCTCCCATTCCTGGCCACAAGCACTTTTGTCATTGTTTGGCTATTCACTGAGAAAACCTGAGAAAGAAGTGAGACTTTAGGAGTGGTTTAAAGGTTTTAAATATGTCCACCCAGAGTGTGGAAGAGCATTCTGCCATTTTGCTGTTTCCACCTTCTCCTTTCCTATGTCTGTTTCCATGGCTTCAGGTCTGGCATTAAAGCAAGAGGGGGAGAGAAAGAGAGAGAGAGAGAGAGAGAGAGAGAGAGAATGTGTGCATGTGTTAGATGATTATTTCCAATTGGAGAATAATTCTTCTGAGGTGGCATCTCAGGCGTGTCATATTTTTTAAAGAGTTCTGCTTATAATCTGTGGTACATTTTACTTGGAGATAAATATATTTATCTTCCATCTTAACACCAAAAAGATGGCTATAAAAACAATTGGATCCAAATGTTAAAAGTAAAATGAGAAATTCTGTTTGAGCAAGGTGTGCAAGGAAAACAGTATTTTTGTACAGTTTGCTATTGTTTTGTTTTATGAATCATTAATATATTAACACCCTAATGTTATACTTAACTCACTTATGTGTCTACACATTCACTCTGAAATCTGAAATGTCATTTCAAACCTTCCTGGGCATGTTCATTTCTTTAGCTGATGTCAACTCTTTCACATCTCCCAACTTTATCAAGGTAGAATGGAATGAATTACTCTTTCTAGTTCTTAGCAATAGCTCAAAAAATTTGTTCCGCTCAGTCCTTACAAAATAATCAGATGGCCAGTCCTTAGTTTCTTCTTCCT